TTGAGATACGTCTATTTTGTTCGATTTATGGCAGGCCTCTCTCCCAGAAAATTTTTTTTTCAAACCCATTCGCAGGCTAGAACCCATAGAGAGGCCTGCGGAGGAGGCTATGCCAAATAATTCCTTTACTTGTTTTTGTGGTTTGTTCGCGTCACGTGACCAGTCACGTATCTGTCTTACTCTAAAACGGTGCGAGTCCGACACTTAAAATTTCCACATTTTTACTTGAAACACCATATTGCATTTGTTTTTCCAGGTTTTTATCCCATACATACTTTGATTTAATTTTGGTATAGTTGTAGTTATATACGATGTCATTGGAAGGGGTCTATAATGTTAATGTTTATGGAATGTTCTTTAAATTAAATTAAGGAGATAAGCTGTTTTGCTAGAGGAAGTTGAACTACGAAAATATATTAATCAAGGCGGAATGTTTATCAAAATTACTGTACGGACATTGATCTTCATATTTGTTAAATTTTGTCAACGATAGATTAATGATTTGATAATGAATACTAAACAACTTGTGAAATGAATCGAGTGTGGTGGGGAAACTAGGGAAATACTCATTTTAACAGAAAAATTAAAATAACTAGCTAGAGCTTGTTAGGAGCTTGCATATAGCCTATTTTACAAATACAGCCTGACAAAATCCTTAAGGGAAAAATCGAGGGACAAATTAAAGCTTCCAGTTGGGGACAAATTTCAGTAATTTCTTTACAAATTTCAGAAATTCTTTAGAAATGTTTTAAAGTGCTTTTCTTCGATGTTGAAGTGCGGCTATCATAGTGACTTTGGCGCGTCCAAATGTCCAACGGAAATTTCTCAATACCTCGCCACAAATAATGTAAAATAGGACTGTTAATCATTCTAGTATTGAATACTTGAATTGTGGCCAAAAAGGTGAAAACTAAATAAATTTTCTTGGTTTTACATCCGGGTATAACCGAATTTGCTGAATTAACAGTTTCAATTGTCCCTTTCGTTTGTCTAAACTTTTCCTACAATGCCCACTCTATTCTTTTATAATCTCTATGCTGTCGTCCTCTTCCATCTACACACATTAAAGGAAGGGCAAATTTGGCCTGATATTCAGGCTAGCATGCATATGTATTGATTATATTGTATTCAGTTTAAAAAAGTATATATGTGACGTAGCCTGCTCGCAGACGTTGTATTTTTTACGCCAAGCGACGAAAAACTAACGTTTACCGACCCAAACTGCATGAGGGAGTGGATTCCCTCAGATTGACCAATTTCAGGAAACCTTCTATATTTCAGAAAGTGACGTCAGTTGATTTAGGAGCGGAATAAATATAAATAAATATTTTGAAAGCAGTCTTCGGATGAATTTTGGTCAAAATTGTACATAAATTGAATTTAAAGATATTGATACTTGTCCTGGTAATAAAATGCACCATTAATGATCAGATTCGGATAACGAAGATGTTCGGTTACCGGTATATTTAAAACGCGGACAGGATTGCACTATACTGTATAAATCTAGGACAGGCAGCATCAAATGCCGAATATATTTCGCTGAAACGACGGATGTTTTGACGGATATTTTGACGGATGTTTATCTTTAAGACAACAGAACTCAGAAGACGGAAAATTTTGTATGATACTGTGGCTTAGAAAGCGAAATATTAGCTTTAACTTGCTGTTTGAGCAACCAATGTAAACTAGCTGTAATCACAACACAAATCCGAGAAACTTGTAATTGCGCCGAGATGAATTTTCCAATTCGCCCAAACTTCGAAACGTTTAATTTATACTCTAACTTGGCTATACTTTTACCCGAGTTTCCCGATTGCTTGTTTGTCATTGTTATCAAAAATTTAAATTTCGCCTACTGCATTGCTTTTGCATTTTATATGCACCGATTGTTTACAGAACATGCGAGAAGATGATCACAATATTATTCTACGTAAACATCGTGAAGTTTAACGCTATAGTTTCCAAAATATATCCACGCAAGCAAACAAATTTCAACCCAAACAATATATTCCCATGTGCGAGGGCTTTCCCCAGTAGCTAATCCCTAAGTAGCTAAGGCTAGTTTTCACGGATAATAAACTAGCCTTAAGGCGGCTTCCAATTGGCTCTAACTCTTGTGAACACTGTCAGATGATTTCGTTCCTAAAACAAAGGGAATTGAATGTGTAGCTTGGGTCAGTCAGCAGACGTTAGTTTTTCGTCGCTTGGCGTAAGAAATACAACGTCTGCGAGCAGGCTAATGTGACCCAAACTTTGGGTTTCAGTGGGTAAAAAGTCAGCCTAGTCCCAGGCTCTCTCTCTAATCGCTGCTTTGATATATTTAAATAAGTCTTAAAAGTTTTATGCCTGGGTGTGCTGTGCGGAACGCTTCAGCGCGAGAGAGCCTAGCAGATTTTAGCCTGCGAACAGGCTCTCAAGCTGAATTGAGAGCCTGCATCGATGACTAATGAATTTGAATATCTGCGTCTCAAATCGTGACGCGAAATTCTCATTGGTCAGATGCTATAATTTATATGTTTCCGCTGAGCTCTATATATGTCAACTGCTGAAGCACTATGCATAAAAAACACATTAACTGATCAAATTGGTCTTGACCATCTTATCTCAAAGCACGAAATGTTCTGTTTTGGGAAAACAGTATTTAAAACATTTGAACTTTTGCTTCAATATCTTATATTTCGAAAAACAGTATAAACTGTACGGTCTAAATTTAGTTTGCACGGTCTAAATTTAGTTTGCACGAAAGTTGTAAACAACACCATATAAGGATATACATTCCATATTTGGAAAAACGAACGTTACGGGGCAGATATTCAAATTCATTAGTCATCGATGCAGGCTCTCAATTCAGCTTGAGAACGTGTTCGCAGGCTAAGCAGATTTCGGTAAAATGGTCCCTGATTTCAAAAAAGTGGTCCCTGGCTTGGTTACCAAGCATACCACATTTGTAAATAGAAAATGTTATGGAAATTTCCTTTGCGTTTACAATTATAAGTCATTAGTTTTGCTCTAATGCTGTCGGAACAATGAAATAGGCTACGTTTCACTAGCATACGGTCATAATGCATAACGAGCTAAATATGACTCGTGTTTACTAAAATATAAAGCCATATTAAATGCTATCTAGAAACTCTAGAAGCTTGAAAATTATGGCGAGTCTCCGACTAAAAATATTTTGACAACACAGTCATGTCAGGCAAATATTTCCAATCTCCTCAGCTACTTAAACCTGTCAAGTAGAAGGCGTAGTTGTGTATACCAGTCAGTGGCGTAACTACTATGGGCTCAGACCGTGAGAACCCGGGGGCCCCAACCTAAATGGGGGCCCCCAGGCTTAGGCAATAGAGCAAAAACATTGGTCAGGGCCTCTGATATGTTACAATGTAGTTTTATGACCATCAAAATTCTGTAAAATCTCTCCCCAAAGTCCAGGAAATGGCATTTCAGAGAGTCTAAATTCAAAAATTTTCCGGATAAGCATGCCCTGGACCCCCTAGAAATTTCGTGCATATACGGCGCTCGACTCGTGCCTTTGGCACTTCTACTAGGGGGGCCTTCGAAAATTTTGAACCGGGGGCCCCCTGATATAACGTTACGCCACTGATACCAGTATGGTCTAGTGTTGATCACAACTTGCGAGTATATAAATAACATCATTGATTATACGACCATTGCTCAGAATCAGTATTGTAAATTTGTATATATATTTTTTTAATTGAGCACATTTTTAATACAGTTTGAATATGGTTATGTAGACATCGAACATGATCAACGAACATTGCCGTATTCAGTGGCGTAGCCAGACCTTCATTTTTTTTTTTGGTGGGGCGAAGCGAACGCCGAAGGCGCGAGATCATCTAGGAGGTCCGGAGGCATGCAACCCCGGGAAAATTTTGAAATCCAGAGTCCCTGAAATGCGATTTCAAGCATTTTGGGGGTGAAATTTTGCATAAATTGATTATAATAGTACATCGAAGACATAAATCTTCCCAGACATTTCTAATTTTCTACTCGGAATTAAATAAATTGGAAAAGTCACCTTGGAAAACAGGAGGAGTCGGTCAGCGTCACCTTATTTCCCCTCTGTGATGCTGGGGAGACTGCTAACTGCTAAGTGGTAACTATAAGAACAAAGTAAAGACCGGTTACAGCATTAAAATGCGGTGCTTTATACAAATAAAACTTTCTGGCGGTTCCGCCTACAAGCTGTGCTACTAGAGAAAGGTTATATGACTTATATTCCTCCTGTCGGGCCGGCAGTTGTTCCGTACGCTTGCTTAATTAAAACGTCGCTTTATTAAACGGCATCAGGATAAACTATTTTCGGATCAAAATACTATCAAAATACTATCAAAATGAAGAGAAAATTGAGAGGAATCCATTGGTATACGGCCGAAACGTACTGCATGCATTTTTAATTAGTTAAATAATAATTTTGAACGATTTGTCAACAATGACAATTTCGCTCGACTTTCAAACCATATAAAATCGCTAGAATACTGCTGTTTCGTAATGAATTTGGCATCCGTAAGTACAATTTCGTACGCTGATTCGAACGATGGTATTTTTGTTCTTGTTGGGTCACTTAGGTGCATTTAAAAACCAGAGATAGTCGATCCTGAGAGTCCGAGATTAATTAATTTTAAGGAAGCAATTTGTTTCCGAACAAACTCCTCCCCCAAAAAACCGTCTGCTGTGATAGCGGTGTGGTAGCGGTGCTAAACTTGGCACGGACACCGCAATTTTGCAACAGGGGGCAGGTTCTATATAGCCCCAGCGAGTTAACGCTCATTCGAGCGTCTTGTCTATTTGTGAATTTCACAACTGTTTATATTATTATCATAAGCTTTCGTTAGTAGGGATGCAACTACTTAAAAAATACAAGCAGTATTTCGACGTTTTATAAAGCGAAGGCCCTTCGTCTGGAGTTAGCTAGCAGCCAGACGCTAGGTAGTTGCATCCCTACCAACGAAAGCTTCTTATTGTTGGCGCTACTTACATGGCATGGACAGTTTATGTTTATAACCATTCTGACCATTCTGTTAATCTTACAAACAGGAAGTGAGTTCGACGAGAACGGAAATGTTCGCAACTGGTGGACGAAGAAATCGCGGGAAAATTTCGTGAAACGATCGACATGTTTGATTAACCAGTACAACAACGTTAAAATATTTGGTTATAAGGTTCGTGCAGTTTCTTCTTTTTCTGCACGGTGGGTGCCGGTATCTATAGGAGGGGCGAGAGATCTATGTTCCCCAATAGTGAGGGGGAGGGGGGGGGGGTAACTTCTTCTAGCCAATAAAGCTATTGTTCTGTTTGTTTTATTTGGGAGGGGGCGGATTCGGGTTTGGGATTTTGTATTCGTATTATGAAACGCTGCTTCGTCGCGTGTTCCAGGCCCCGCATAGTGTCAAAAATTGCCAAAAATAGTTCGTATTTTTATCATATATTCAAGTGTTACTATTGTTTAGCGTAGTTTTTAAAATATTTGGAATATTTTTCGATTGAAGATCAATCAATCGGAAGACTATAACAGAGTTTAGCTCACTAATCTCACTATACTTGAAGCTTTGTTTAAGACATTTTTTTCTCGGTTTTGGTAGGCCTAATTAGGGAGCTCATAGTTACTTTGCATAGCATTTCACCTTATTAATATTTCTCTTAAGTTCGTTCCAGTGTGATTATTTAGGACCTTGTATAACAATCTTGATTTGGTTGTACGTCACCTTGTCTTTAAATTATCCCAAGTAAGAGATCAAAGAACGTCAGCAGATCTGGTCTCGTAGGTTTGCCCGGTTTTGAAATTTTGAAAGTTTTTTTTGCAGTTTGTTATAAACTCCCCGCAAGAGAAAACAAAGTAAGGCTGTATCTGCGCGCAATAGTTGTTTGTGATACATGCTTAATATACCCCGTTATGTGTTTTTGAGATTAGTTATATCTCAAACTCATAATTAGCATAAATACCAGACATATACTTTGTGGCTTTTTACATGGTCCCGCTTTGCCGGGACGAGATGAGAGCATATCGATATCTTATATAAACTAGATAGCGCATCTCTTTTAGTAAAATTGAAGCCAAGAATATTCCAGCGGTTACCGCCATTTGAATAGATGGCGGCCATGTTGAAGTTTCCCACTCGCTAATAAACGCTTAAAAACAACAATAACTTTCATCATTTGAATAGTTTAAAAATGTATTTGGAATAGGTTTACCTTAATATTTAGGTTCCGTGTATAGGATATAGAAATCATACGAATCTTCTAATTTCATAGGAATATCCTGAGTCTGCAATCAGGGCTACAATTTTTGAATTGTAGAATAATTAGATGCACTATCTATAGTGTATATAAGATATCTATGGATGAGAGGTGGGGTAATTTGGCGAGTTCAAACAAGTCACTATAATAGGCATAAGTAAAAAGTCAATATATAGGTCGACAAAATTACTCATGCAGGTTGTTTTGATTACTTCTTCGAAATATGCGTTTCCGTAGCAGCCTTAACAGATATATTTGTTGACAGTCCCAAACATGTAGTGTTTGTATGTGTGTCCAATCCAATTAATTAATCAACTGATCAGTCCTAAATACTAGTCAGTAGCCAGGAAATACATTCGGAATAAGTGCTGATTGAAAAAGCCATAATTCACTTAAAATTTTGAGGAAAGTTCTTAGCCTACTAAGAAATACATGCATAGAACTCAATGGTCTACCCGTGACAAAATCCACAACGACGCGTCCGCAATCATTAATTTACTTCTCACGCTGAGTGGATTTAGTACCTTCTGTACGCGGTATGCTCGTTGCTTTGGAGGAACCACCACATAGTAATACACATTGTTTTTTTTAGGTGAATGGCACAAATACATTATCAGAAAACATTGCTGATAACGGTGGCTTGAAATATGCTTTTAGGGTAAGTGAATTTGGAGAATTCAGATTGCTGAAGACCCCTTTTGCGTATCAGCTGGTCAGCTGTTATGATACAAGGAACTCTCAATAATTATGGTTGAGGTTGGTACCCTCATAAACTACTGAAACGTTGCTAACACAAAATATAACCGGTTTAAGACTGGATAAACTTAAGATTGCTGTGCCTTAAAAAACAAGCAAAAACTCGACGTTTCGAGCAAAGGCCCTTCGTCAAGAGTTAGTGGACGAAGGGCCTTCGCTCGAAACGTCGAGTTAATTTCTGCTTGTTTTTTTTAGGTAGTAATATAACCACTCAGCACAACATTTTCACATTGGTACTACCCACATTGGTACAGACAGTTTTAGTGAATCTAAGATTTACTAAAAGATGTAGAGTTGGTTTTTCGCCATTTTCGTCTTATTTTATCGACGGATACAGAATCTATATATTCTCGCATTATTCTGTTTGACAATTTTGTCATTTTGTTTTCCCAAATTTTGAAATTTTTACGCTCTCTCTCTCTACTTCGGATAAAAAGGATTATACTATATTCTTGTTTGATATTTAAATTATAAGTTGTGAAGTTTTGTATAATGATGTTTTGTAACAGGTCACAAACGTAATTGGCTCACGCTGTGTTAGTGTTCCTGAATCGTCTTCCTGTTTGCATATGTTTATATTTCTGTTGACGGCTGAAGTTAATAAATTAGATTAAATTAAGATTACATCTTTTATCTCTGAATTTGTTAATTACATGCAGTTGTTGTACAATAAGATATTGTTGGTACATCAATAAATATTGATAGTAATTTCAATTATCTTGACATTGGGTGAATAAAGCTCTTACAATTCCTTTAGTCTTTTTTCCGTGCCAACCTCTGACCATAAAAGTATTGAGCCGTCCCTAATCCGTTAAGTAAATTGTAGTACGTAGACTTTTGTTGAGGAAAGATAATGTGGGTAAAGGTGATTGGCTAAACTGTTAATAATAATAATAATAATAACAATAATGTTAATAATCTAACGTATTTTTTTCCTTAGGCATATCAAAATTGGCGTGATACACATAGCAATGAAGATAAGTTACCAGCTCTTCCTTTTAATAATAATCAACTGTTCTTCATTGGTTTTGCTCAGGTAAGCATACTCTGGAATATTCGTACCTATAATTTTCAGCTTTCGGTAGCGTTTTTCTGTATTTCATAGCCGAATTTTAGAGTGCTAGGCATGACTTGCTCATGCATGGTAATAGACGGCGCAGAATCTGATACCTTTATATTAAGTTCTACCACTGTGATTTTCTAGAAGGGATCACCTACGTGTAAACCAGCACGTTTATTTCTTTGGGAATATAGATTTTTAAATCCCACCTCCTCGGTGTCCAGTTATCAAGTTTATATTATGAACAATCGCTGTAGGTAGCAAAATATTACAAAATGGTTTTCTATAATGCAAGCACTTAAAAACTTAATCAAACAATTATTTATCTTTTTCAAGCTCATTAAACTTATATTGTGGAAATACACCTATTAAAGCTATGTAAGCTATGCAGTAATTATCCAACATAAGTTCCCATTCCCTTACTCGAGGTGACATGCATGCATCTTATGTACAAAATAGCGGCTCAACTGGGCGAATTTTTCAGGAATCTATAGCCTTTTATATAGCCATGTCTCATCGACGGGCTCGTTCCATCATGTATCACGCATCAGCGTTTGTCTTAAAATTTGAAAATTAAACTTTTTCCCTTGTGTAGGAATGGTGTGCAAAATATAATAAAATATATGTTAAAGCTTCGATGGATAAGGACGTACATTCTCTGAATCCAGTTAGGTGAGCAGTATGGGGTATTGGTGTGGGTATTGATGGCATAGTGGTTAGTGCAACCGCAAGTCCCTTTCAACTCTATGACCGAGTTTGATTTTTCGCAGGTTTTTCCGGATACTTAGTTTCGTCCTGTTACTCTGTTCTGTTAAGGGATAGCTCTTTCAGGACCTCTGGCATCTTTTATAAAATAAATGGCTTGATACAGTGTTTTGAAAATGGGAACACTTGAATAAAATTCATCGACACATCGTGTATTTTCACTGTAGAAAATTAAAACGAAACTATAGCCGACATGATATTGCCATTCATATCCTAACTATTTATTTTTGCTTTAATTTTAGAGTACGGGTCCCACTGACCAACTTTCCTGAATTTAGTAAGGCATTTGGATGCACACCGTCAAACAATACTTGCACCTTTTGGTAGTCCTGTTTTTACTTCAATCATATTTAATAGAAAATAAACATGGTTAGGTCTGAGACTGCATGGTAATATTCAAAGAGATTTACCGTCGGACTCCAATAGTGAAAGCGCATAAATCTTAGAAGAGAATTGGCAAAGAAAATTAAGTTTTTTCTTACTTCAGACAAATTTTAAAATGCCTGTCAAACATATTTAAAAAGAAGAACGAGAATGTTACGGATATTTTTTTATATCATACTTCCTCATCTGCCAATTGAAATCGCGAAGCATTGTTCAATGTTCATATTTAGCGTAATGCACGGTCAGATTTTCTATTGTTTTTACGCATTTTTGAGGAACCATTGCAAAGGCAAATTCAGGAGTCGAGGAACATTAAACACTTCTTCCAGGTCTGTTATTAAAAGCCTGTACAACGTTTCTAAACGGTCTTTGGTTTCGAAATATTCCGACCTGCAAAAATAGCGTGTAGTCCGCCATCTTGCTTCTTGGCTCAATATAGGTGACGTCACAACTGGGGTGAAGGCAAATTTTTATTCTGCAACAAGATTTCATTGTCCATCATCCATTTTAAATTAACTCACACTTCTCTTTAAATGCAGTCACCCATATTGATGGTAGTTTTAACAAGTTGAACCAACGAGGAATTTTGTTCTCGACCAATCAATGCAGTTGTTGACATCTTCGCTCTAAGCCAATCAGAATGCGTAATTGGTTATTACTTCCGGTAAAAACATACATTAATATGAAGCATATAATTAAGCATATAAAACATACAAACATATAATTCATTTATACGAAATTCCCCCTTGTTAGTTAAACTCTGTTGTGATGTCACTCAAATCCCAGCTAATTAGATCAAATATAGAAACAAGATGTTTCTGGTCAGAATAATTCTAAAACCAAGAAATATAGAAAAGGCTTGTCAAGGATTTTCATATATCATTTTAAATGTTCTTTCAAATGTTTTCTCCCCATTTCCCATTAATGCTTACACATTAATATGTTTGAGCAATTGAAGTTTAAGGTGGCAGCTATTGCATGGAGTAATATATTTTTGCGTGAAACATGAGGATATTACCTCCCGTAATTGCACTGTTATTAAGATAAATCAGACATGTAGCTAAGAAGTTTGATCTACGTATATCAAAGTATTAATTAATAACTGTTAACTCATCCACTCACCCATCCATGTTTACATGCATATACGCTTCACATTTCTAGAAACTATGTACTGGCGTATATAGGTTTACTTGGCATGAACAAATTTCCATAAATAAAAACACAGAACATTGCCTTGTCGACAATCTAAACCATGTTTATTTTCAATTAATTGTTTTTTAAATGTTATGCTACCGAGGTTTATACATGTTAATCTGTTAATGATAGAACAGGTTGTTTTTCTTGTTGTTAAACATAACGAATGATTTTTTCTGTAATTCATATTGGTTATTTTTTACTTAATTAATATTTTTTCTTGTTGTGAATTAAACAAAGCAAATGATTTGATTTTTCCTGTTATTCATAATGGTTATTTTTTAAATTGATAATAAACATTAAATAGTATAGAATTCATGATCAGATGTCGTTCTATCTGTTTCTTAGATAGTAATATTCAGGGCCAGATTATGGTTGCGCGGGGTCCGAGGCATACTTTTAATAATTTTAATACGGGGCCTGGGCCTACCCCTTTCACCCTCTACCACCGACGGTGTTGTGATCTAAGTCTTTTTATTTTGTCCTTGAAATGATGGCGTACGTGTGTACACAAATTGGAATATATGTCAATGATTTGGCAATACTATTGTACCTATCTGTGCGTTTACATGGCGCGTAGTTGAACAATATATATATACATGTATAAGACCCATTCTTCACGAAATTCTTGGGCTCCACATTCTGGCAGCACTATTTAAGGAGCTTTGCTGCGTGCTTTTTGTGCTTTGCAAATTGGGTGTAGCGAATTATGTTATTTGGGCGCTTACTTGACAATGGGCTTGTCAGAGCCCACGGTTATGCATGCATGGAGGCAGCGAGCGTTTGGTTCCCTCATTTGGTTATAAATTCATGTCTCCCTGCTGACCCCAACTCATGATCAGTGAGACATGAATCTGTATCCATTTCCTGGAACAAAAAATCTTGTGTTAAGGAAGTGCGCAAGAAATATAGACTGGCACCAGAAAACACAGGGACCATAGGATTATTAATATGGAATTTGGGGCAAACTCTGGTACTCAAGGATTACGGTTACGATTTGGGTTAGGATTAATGTGAGGATTGGGATTAATAATGAATCATATTAGCCGAAGGCGAGGGTAAATATTGGTGATTAGTATAAATTTTGCATATCAAAATTAATGAGCTTTCGCGCGTTCTGATTGGCAAGTTGACTGATAAATCTGACGCATTATTTACCAGCGGGCTAGTAATAAAATAATGCTTTTCAAAAAGAACGATTCGGCAAATTTAGTTTCAAAATCAATGAAATATTGGAAACAATTGTTCCCAGAAAACGAAAAAAGCACAAAAGGTTGCATTGAATTTGAAAGGTAGGATTCCTTTCTCAAATATTTATTCAAGAACAATTTAAAACTTATATCCGAGCCAACGGCGCGGAGCGCCGTTCCGGGCGTCAGCCCTGGGCGAGGGTACTAATTCCCCCCGGCTATTTACACCCGGGGCACAGAAGAGATAATACCAGAAGTCTCACTCGAGCGGAAACATGTCCCATCTTTTATACTGCGCATGCGCGAGCTAAACAAGTGTATTGCAGTGTTGACAATAGAAAATTATATTGGGAAGTTGTCATTCCTACAGTAAAAACAGCTTTTTTTTCAAGTAGTACGAAATGTGACTTCGATTTATCTGTGGAACTATTTGAACAGAAGGTAAAGCAGTAATTTTTTTGTATTTAGAAAGCAAATTAAAAAAATAGCGCACTAAATATAAATTTGAGCATCATTAAAATGTGTTCGCTATGATGCCATTTTGTCTCCGGTATATACGGAGTACTGCTTTTATACTGGTGGATATTCGAATTTATTTGGCTCAAAAACACCATTACTTCAATATCCCTTTCTTGTTTTTCCTTGGATAGGTTTTAACAAGATAGAACTCTAGATCACTTGGGTCCAAAAACGCTAGATTATAAAATCCTGATGTGACTTGATATACAAATAGAATATGCCTTGTGATTTAATACGACAAATAGAATGACTTTTTAAGTACAAACTTCAATGAATTGATAAAGTGTAAGGATAGTGTTTAAAGTCGCTTCATGTGTAGAAGCTGAATTACTTTAGTTTATACACTGTATTAAATGTCGATATCACATGTTGATATGACTTTAATACTAGCAACTTGCAATAAGTGGTCTGTCCTGCTTGTTTATAATACTTTAGAGTTTGGACATTAGAACATTGTAATTGCCTGACAGAGACTGTTAGGGCCTGTTTGTATGGAAGCCGGGCTGGCCCACTTAGCGAGACAGCCCGGTAAGGTAGATAAGCCGGACGATTTCTCTTGTGTTTATTTGAGAAAA